CAGGGGACAGGACGTACCTGCCGATGATATGGTGTGTAACAGTCAGTGACCTTTTCAGTTGCGTACATAATAGTTACCAAAATGATTCGCTGGAGTATTTTCAACCTTCGTGGAGCAAGAATTTTTTTATTACCTTCTCCTGTACACTCTCATTGGGTACAGTTTTCAGTCAAAAGCGCTGGAAAGCGAAATAGAAGATTTACAAGGAGAGTTTGAACTGGATCGGCTCGACTACCTCGAGACTATCCGGAAGCAAGATCAGCAGTTGAAGCTGTTGACGCAGATTCTGGAGAAAATACAGCCCGTAATAAAAAAGGTGAATCCTCCGGATTAATGAGAAATCAAGTTTCTAAATACACTAATATACACTAATAATCTCTCTCAGGATTCAAACTACTACAATCTCGAGAAGGTGAAAAAGGACGCCGTTTGGAATGAAGACGAAGGTCGATGGATTTTGCCTGAAATGAGCGTCTCCAGAACTGTACTGCCGACAGCGCACAACGGTATGCATAAGAAATGAAAACGCTTTTACACATCCTCTTTCTTGAGAATCGAAAAGCTCCGTAGTTCTGCTGAGCAGTCGACAAAGGATCTACCATGTAAAACATCTCTATGCGACTAACGCACCGTAATTTATAGTTATAACGTCGCAATCAGTTGGGGCGTGTCAGCAGGGGCGAAGTGAGTTCGCTTCCGGCTGCCTTGCTCTACCAGTGGTAAGCAATGGCAACTGGTTAGTGAATGCTTAGAAAAGAAAGCAATTAGTGGTGGAGTCGCCGCCGGTCATTCATTTACTTATTCGAACCGGCCCCCCCACTGATTCGGCGCGATGAACTGTTTGTGCCAGCTCTACGCGCATCACTAGGCTTCAGAATTACAATATTTATACTTGCGGCGGCGTCCGACACAGGCTAATAGGCGCGCGGAGCGTTGAGAGTTCCACAGCGTCAGCGACCAGAGTATCAAGATATGCAGCGTCTACCAGCGACTGCAGCGTGCGGGCAGAAAGGAACAGATTTTGCGGATAGGAGCGTAAGCCAGCTGTCTGTTTACCACTCCTATCACCCCACATCTCCATCTGAGCTGATGCTGATACGCTGGGAGACGCCCGGCAGACGCTAGACAACTTATAACAGGGGTTTTTGATCATATTTCTAGTCTCGAGGCGGCTGAGAAGGAGAGATATGGGATCAAGTGCGCTGAGATCAATATCTTACTCATTCTAGTCGCTGACGCTGCTGGACGCTGGAAGCTGCTGAACGCCTGCCGCAAGTAATTGGGGAGGCCGAGACATGCTCTTACTGACACAACGGGTTTCGCCTTTTAATTTTGTCTTTTTTCGCAGCATGTAATAGCAGTGCACAATTGCCATCCTTCCTGCGTGAACGCATACGACGATGCTTAGTTGCAAGGCTGAGAGAGTAAGTTTGCTTTCAACATTTGCGGGAACAAACTTTCCAATGGTTGGATTTTTTCTCACCCTTCACTCTCATGAAATTTTTTGCCGCAAGAACTTGGAAGGTCTTGAAAGGAGCTCAACAGTTCCTGATACCTTTTTGAATTGAGTGCCCAGCACCCTTTTCAGCTACGCGGAATACGTAAGAAGACAAAATGCCCTAAAATACTCCGAGGGCCTTTCTTATAAGTTCGTGTGCAACGAACATTCTTTATATACTTTACGACACTCAAATATCATCATTATCCCTGGAAAGCTCTGCCTCGTTTTCATTTAGAAACTCGCCAAAAGTGAAGAAGAGAATATTGCCAACAACTACTTTCAAACCAATTCGGCAAAGTAACGTGCTGAATAAATACCGTGGCGATAACGCAAGAAATATAGGTACGTAATCGGAATTGAAAAATCCCTACAATGTACGGTCTTTTCTCCTAAAAATGCATTGCAAAGCTTGTGTAAATTCAAATCCTTTGGAAAATATCTTCGCTTTTCAGGTGTTAAATCGTACTTCCCGAACAAAGCGTCCACATTTGACAATTTGCTCAGCGGTGTTTGTCTATTCCGATGATATTTACGGTCGTTCACAGAAAAGATGACCAGCGAGGCTAGAGGCTCTGCCACTGAAGAAATGATGAAGATTCGCTTAGAGTTAGATTACTTCTGGGACGCGATCACGCCCATGTTAGCGTTTGCTCACAACTTGGCTCCGCAGTTGCCATTGTAACCCGCAGAGGGCATTTCGAAGAAAGTGCAGACGATGGTTCAGCACAAACAGCGATTTTCGTTTTGAAGCAACTATTTTTTCAAAATTATTGAACACTCACTGCAACACACCAGAGGGGTTGAAGACACGCTGTACACTCATCTCCCAGGGTTTCGGTCCTTGCAATGTACCACGTGAACTGATCCGCTGCTGTGGAGTGTTCCTTGTTTGTTACACAAAAGCGCGCCGAAATAAGGCTACACGATGCCACCTGAGGCTCCAACCACAGGCAAAGCACGCAGCACGTAACACGCCACACTACCAGCTTTATGCCTAGTCAAGCCGATGGCGCTTCTTGTCCGCGCCTCTAATTTGGAGAGCTGTTGTTCTCTACGACTGGCTGCCATAAACAGCTTTCCGTCCATATTGTTGGCCTCGGCGCTCTTGCCGCATTCGTGGACGACATATGCATAGCCAAGCGACAGGCACCTCTCATTACGTCCCCGCCACATTTCTGCACCTTTTCTTATGACAACGTAGGCATACTTCTACAGCTGCTCACTCCGCCACTAACCATGTGTCACGGATCCATCTCACTGGTAGCGTGCAGCTTGTCTTCAACCCGTGGCTATTTGAGATGTACTTCTTCCATGAATCGTATCCCCTTAGATTCTGAATCAATGGCCGCTGAGACAGCTGAATGAACTATATTTCGATTAACTTATGGAGTAAATTAGTAGAGCTTAGACTAATGGGTTAAAAAATAGTTTCTGAAAAATTTGTACACTTGATCAGGAATAACGCCGGGAAAAGAGGCATATCCTTTATGACTAGGAAAACAGGTGTTTCTCGATTCTAACCCGTGGCTAAATGTTATGAGTACTGTCCTATTACGTATTACAGGTATGTAACAAGAAATAAAGATTTTTTCGAGTGTTGCTTCGAACGCGCAAGTGCCAGACGTTTCTGAAATTCAGTGAGAATATTCACATTAATAGTTCTGTCATTCCTGAGCATGCACGAGCCATGCACCCCTATGAAAAAGTATCCTTTTCTGACCCACTATTAAGGGTAGCAGATCATGTCAGTCCCGACTTCGCTCTCTTCGAGCGACTTTCAAGGCAGTATGCATTCGTTTTCGCTGCAGACGCTGGGGCGTGTTCGGCGTTTGGTGAGAAGAGCGCGGCGGGGTTCGGCCCATCGCCAGCTCTCACTCTATCATTCGTTGAAACGAGCAAGCTACTCTGCAGCGAAGTATAGGCTTTTGGAACACCCGGAATCTTCTTCTCGTCTCCATTATTGGCTTGATCAATAACTGGAATGGAAATGACAAAATTATGAGAGCGAAAGCGCGTTGCTCTATTCGCGCATAGCATGTGGAGTGGAGTTGCAATGGGTTAACCTTCGAACATTCGAGGGATCCAGCGGCAACTTCCACAATCCTTCCATTTATTCCTACAATTTTGTTTTAAATTTGTTTCTCTAAGACTGTGGCACACCATCGGGTGTATTCAAAATAAAAACAAGCAATAAATAAATAGTATAAATAAACTCGGGGTAGCGCTGTACGTCCGAAGTGCGTCCCATATCCATGATGGGGGTTTTACTTTGTTTTTTCCTGTTTGTTTGAAGTTTCTCTTCAGATTGCACGCAATTTCATAGCGGAATTGGGAGAACTTGGGAAGGTGGTGGGCAGCGATAGGGAAGATGGTCGTATCGGATGAGGTATTACGGTTGTTCGAAAAGTCCTGCGACACTTTGTTGAACTATTCTAGAAAAAGACCAAAAATCATTTTGAATGTTTTTATCTCTGATTAGTGGAGACTGTCTCCTGGGGTTTCTGAAAATGGGTATATCATGGGCCCTCGTGCGAAAAAAAAAGGTTTTTTCCACAAAAAGAAAGCTTAAAAATACCTCAGAGATCGAGGTACTTCTCGACCTATCCCATATTATGAGTTCCTGTAGGGCAACTCCGCCATAGTCGAGGAAGCTAACACTTACGTTGTCTTGAGGAAGGATATCGCTTGCCATAGCAGAGAGTTCCTTTTGCATCAGCGCTTCCAGGCTGGACTTATTCAACTCGGAAGTAGGCAATAGGTCGGCCACCAGCACAGAATGACGGCCCTTTACTCAAGCTTCTTGAGGCGCAGCCGAACGTAACCACCAGTAAGTTGGCAACCTCTCTAGGCTCCACCTAACTGACAACTGCCATGCTTCTCCGCAGTCTCGGTTATCGGAAAAAATTTTTATGAAGGATGCCTCATGAGTTGAACCCCTCTGACAAGTCATACCGAATGACCGTGACTGAGTTTTTTTTCCTTGTACACACTGGAGGAACATTTGTGAGATCTTTTGTGGTTGGTGGAGAGTGGTGGGGTCCTTGCGTACATCTTGCACATGTTCCTCGCAGGATCTCTCAGAGAGAAAAGTAGATTGCACAGCCAAAAGCAGATGTGCATGGGATAAGATTTCAGTAGGTTATTGGTGGGACTTCAAAGCGGTATCTCTGGATACTAGCATAACGGTAAGGACTACAGTCCACTCTAACCAACCTCACAACATGGATGACGTCACGCTTGAATTCTTCAAAAATACTCAATTTTTCTCCGCTCGGCAATGCGAAGACCGCATTAGGATCAGGCCACACCAAAAGATCGTGGATCTTGATCTGAGAATGCGACCATACCCAGCTTATTCATCAAAGTTAGCAGTCTCTAACTACTACCTTTTTTGATCCCTACCGCATCCTTAAGAAGGCAAAAATTCCGAAAATCGACGTCTACTCAAAAATGAGGTCCACCTCTTCTTCTTATCATAGTTGCCGTAGTTCTATAAGAATGGAAATGAGAAGCTGTGCAAAAGAAGGGCACTAGTCCTAGTCCTTAGTGGTGATTACCTTGTAGATTGGAGATGTCTTTTAGTGACTGAAAATTTAGTCCGAAAAATTGGTCAAAGTGTCGCAGGACTTTTCGAACAACCTAAATATTAGGGTGTCCACAAAGTTCGTTGGCCATTCGTTTTTTGCAGAGCTTATGAAGATAACTCACCAAGTTGAACTTACCGGTCCATGATATAATCTCCATGCATACCCACCACCTTTCGCCAACGATCGGGTAGAGAGGCAACTCCATCCTCTCAGAAGCCGGCCAGCCGCGACTCGCCCAAGTCCTCGATCACGTCCTCGAGGTCGCGCTCGTTCTTCAGCTGTTTTCCGTCCAGGAAGTTTCGCATGGACCGGAAGATGTGGTAATCGCATAGACTGATGTCCGGGCTATATGGTGGATGCGTGAACGTCTTGATGCCCAGCCTGTCCAGGACGGCCTGAGTATCTCTCGCTTTGTGGGGGCGCGGCGTTGCAATGCGTTGTCCAGAGCAACCACGGATTTGCAAGTTTCTGGGACAAGGCGGCAGCTTTCACCTTGACCTCCTGTAATTCTTTAGAGAGGGTCTCTGCCGTCACTGTGGCATTGTTGGGTAGGGTGCTATAGTGGACGACGCCGTGACGAGAGAACCAGAAACCTCGGCATATCTTCGATGCCATAGTTTCCATTGGTGAAGCGAGTCCCCCATTTTGACATCCAGTTCTTAGAAGGGTGTTATCACCAAACTGCTGACGCATCCTGGTCGTGGCCTGACGTCTGGAGATGTCCAGATTGTAGTAGTCCAGCAACTATCACTCATCTTCACTGCTTTATTGTGGAAAGATCAGGAAAGGAAATTTAGAGCTAGCTAGCTCAGAAGATAGCCCACCGCGAAGTGACCTCCAGTTATTGCGAACCATTATGCAAAATCGACAACGTTGCGTAACGCGGCACGCTGTTTACAAATGGCCAACGAAACTTTTGTGGGACACCTAAAATATGCAGGGGTGTCGCTGCTGACATCGCCATTTCATACATCACTCGGTTCATACATCACGGTGCCTCTACCCTGTGGTAGACACTGCAGTGTACTACTGTATTCAAACTGTTGTGAAATAATCTAGTAAAAACTTTATATAATCAAGTACCCGTTCCTGACAACGAAATTTAAAAAGTAAATCAAAACGAAGCATAATATAACATACATGTGAGATCAATGTGAATATGGTTGGCATTTTATGCCTACCCTGTTGAAAGCATGAGCTGCAAATATTCTCTAAAAAACATGCAATGCCCTGTGAGGAACACTAGCGATATTTCTAAGAAAGTTCAGCAACAGTGCTCATGACCCAGTTCTAATAATTATTATCAATTATGGCTCATTACAATAAATTACGGTGTACATCGTTCCTAACATACGCGTAGTCATGGTGATCAGCATTGATAGGATTTCCAAATTCATCGGTGAATCGCCCTGGTGCGTAGCCGTCATGGGCAACCGTAACTCCTCTGAAAAATTTGAAACCTAGTTTCTCGATTTCATACTTGCTATTGTGAAATTAGGCGGATCCTAATCGTGCTTAGAATCACTCTCCCCAGATGTGAAGAAGGCTCTGACTGTGAGGATGAGTGACTCTGCTCATCCGCCGCGATTCTAGCATTGAGGCGTATAATCCGGAGCGGTTACTGTGCGACTAAAAAACTTTCTCATCTTCAGTTAAACAATGATTGCCTACGTTCAGACCGAGAAATGTGGGTCAAACTGCATTCGAGATGTCTTCTACGATAATGGAGGGAACCACATAGAATGCGTTCAGCGCCCCCACCAGTGTCGGATGCTTCAACTATCCCCTCTCTCTATTTTTAATTTGTTTTCAATTTTTTCCTACTCTTCCTGATTTTCACTCACTATTCCCAAACATTCCCCACTTTCTCTTTCCAAGCGCTTTCTGCATCACTTACACCGTATCCTTGCCGTATTTCTCGCAGAGTTACTACAGGCTCTTGCAAAAGAAATGTATCAGTTGCAGTAGGCGTTGGCTGCCCTTACAGAAGGGCTAACGTGACAACTAATTTGCGTGGACGGTCTGTCGCGATTAGCTAGGGCGACAGAGCAATAAAGGAGTGCGGCGACTACCGCACGGCCATCGCTGAGTACACAAGAATGACGAGAGCCAAGCAAGAATAAACTTTTTTTCGAAGGTTATGTGATACCGGGGAGGTACTTTAGTATGGTGAAAAGTAGAAATATGGAAGAGGCAGGAAATCGATTACCAAGCGCCATTCAGGCAAGCGCATGAGTTCAGTAAAAACCAAAATTGCGCCATCACAAGGAATTTAAGTTTTAGTTGTGTTGGCCCGCCACAGTGTGGCAGTATCGTGCCCCACAAAGCTATGCGTTTCATTAACTCCAGTCCGACTCCACTTACTCTAAGCTCAACGTAAAGCCGGCGATCATGCTGCAACAGATAGTGCGACTAGGTTTTTGCATATAGCAACAAGGGAGCAACTCGCTATGTGGAAGAGAAAATTCAGGGGAAAAAAAAAACCATTGCCGAACTGTCTAAATGGGGCCCCCGTTCCGATTCTCATTTGCAAATGCTCCAATCAATTAACTCCATCTTTAATCTCTATACGCCTCATCCGCCACAGTTGACTTTCCCAGTAAAAACTCTGAATGACCGTACAGGTGACGATCTTCATGCTTATCGTACTACAGTTTCGTTTTTCACTGAAAGGCCTGCCTGAAGGCGAGAGGGAGTCTGGAGGCGGAGACACTGGAGAAAAGGAGGCGTCACTAAACTCATATTGCGTTTCCCTCTCTTACGATTTTTTTGCCGCAAATCCGGTACAATGTTGTTCGTTGCGGACAGCATTATCCGACGCCATCTTTTCAACTTCTATTTACCTTGAATCGCAGAACCCCGGACCATTTAAAGTTACTACCTCAAAATTTCAACCCAACAATCTACATTGACACACAATTATAATTTGTCAGGGAAAGAGGTTTCGCAGAATCAGAGAAAACAATTACGGCTGCAGAAGCGCTACTTTTCCGCGAAGGCGGCAAAGTTAGCTTGTTTAGGGCGGGCTGATGTACTTAATCGCACCAGGACCCAACTCACTAACATGGAAGCAGTGCTCAACGTCGACTCTATTCCGAGTTTGAATCGTACTGGGGGTAACGTTCCTTGTTCCTCCCTAGCGGCAGCGGAAACACCAGTAGAGAGCGCTGTTCTACTTTGGATGGGGGAGAGGCATTTTATACATTGGCTAGATCCTTTTATTAGTGCACGTTAACAAAAGGTCTCACTTTAGTCACTGGAATTCACAGGTCTTGACAGTGTGGTACAAGCCTCGCCAAACACCATTTGCCCCTACTAAGCCAAATTACGCCCACCGCAGATACGATATGATCTTTGGTCGTAGGAGCAGCCTGCAAATGGTGACCTTACGAGTACAATATATTGTGCCACATTATAGAATAGCTCAGAGTTGACAGTAAGATTCTACTGGTTTCACGAGGCGTGAGCCTCATCTCTTTTATTTCCGACTAGCAGAAGGTCACTTCGTTCCTAACAAAATGTGAGAGAGCGAGACTGCTTTCTTTCTAACGTTGCCTTACAGAACGACCAGATCGTTTCCTCCTTCCCCTATTTTGACATTCCTTACAAATTCTCGCAACCATGATCCTTAAAAAGCATAATCAGACAGGGACCGCTTCCTGAGTTCATCAATAGGGAATCTGGGGGAGTTTGACCCAGGGTCGATTCGTGAAGGTAACGGCTAAAAGAGAATACCACGCTTGGTTCCTCATTTGTGATACAGTGGAATAGCTCAATTCCCCTCTCCAGAACACGGCATAGCACCGGTCAATAAAGGGATATAAACTACTCGTCACAAAGCTTTCTCAATTAACATACACTTGTTTCCTCGGCGTGAAAGCGGACGTCGTCGGTGGTAGAGGCAGCTTGGGTGGCGATGGTGGACAAAACTGATGTGGTTCTGGAGGCGATGTACCGCCACCAGCGTAATTCAAAGATTCATCTAGAACAAGAAAGCTGGAATAATTGGTATTGCAGTATATTAAAATCATGAAATTTCGAGAACAGGCTAAAAACCTTTAATCTGCGGAACTGGCTTGAGGCAACGGCAGCAGATACAGAGGGATACGCAGACGCATCCAAGAACCAGCACGACGCCACCGGACAAGAGCAGCACGAGTGCGCCCGAGACTGATATCAACGGATCGGTGTCCAAATCTGAAAAAAACTGTGTTTCAGGCTGTGTATAAATTACGAATTTTCCACAACTGGTAATGCTCATGCAACTTCATTCGCTTACGGTGATGTACCATCGTCAAAAAACGTTCATGTACGTTAAAAAGGCCTAGCATTGCCCTATTCTATACCATCAGAGCACAGCATCCTCGCGCGAAACCCATCGGGGGATCGTACTTGGCCGCTGGGGAGGGGGGTCGTAACGGCAGGTCGGTGAGCACCAAACAGCACAAAAGTGTCATCGCTAAGTTTGATGGAGCGGACGGAAAGCTGCAGAGAACCGAATGTAAGCAAGACTACGAAATATTAAAACAATTGGTCAGCAATATCAACTGTTAGCATTAACTGGTAAGTACGTAATTAGCAAGTAGATAGTTACATCACAAACAGATTCTGCAAATCGACCGTTCCACTCTGCGAAGAAGCGCAATGCACGGCGCACACTCCGACAAATCGATGGATAATATCCAAATTATGCTTTGCTCAGCTCAACGGAAATATGTTTCGAGGGCATATGAGCTTTGCGAATGAGTATCCTTACATTGGCACAGAAGGAGTCTAGCACTTGAGTGGCTCAGAATGTAGCCTCAGGGTGACCCATCTAAAATATCTTTGGAACTAGCGGGTGTTAGGGAAGAATGTAGAGCTTATTGGAAAGAGAAATATTGCGCGTTCTTATAGCGTCTTCATTTTTGCAGAAGATTCAAATATTTGGAAGAAGTTATTCCCGTCCGAAGCATAAAAACCCGCTGGCGATTTACCACTAACCCGTCCGTAACCCAACCGAAAACCTTCATTAACCAGGGTAAGATTCAGACTGCGAGTGGCTAGAAAATAGTGACAGCAGAAACAAAGCTTCAAACGTGGGCCGCCTCCCGTTTTTTAAAAGGCCCACACCGCTAAAAAAGATATCAATCGCCATGATTTCCACCCGGCCAGCAGATTTGGTCTACCGGTAATTTGCCAAGGAATCATAGTGCGGCCGCGAGCGCTTGCAGGTGGTCACGTATCTAATCCTTTCATTGAAGCAATTAATTAGCAGGCCGGAAAGGGGGGGGTCGGACAAGAACCCTTTCCCGGGGGATTGTACTGACACCGCCATTTCACACATCACGATGCTGTACCCTGCTCCAGTATGACTGAATGGTTTCCCGGTTGGTTCTGCTTCTTTGATGAAGATCCGGAAGTATGTGTTCAGCATCGGTGACGGTTCTCCAAAATTCGATTACCGGGCATACATAATTCGCAGATCAGTCCTATAGGGCGAAATCATATTGTGTCCTTTCACCAAATGGTTCACATGGTGCCTGCTGTATTTTTTCTTGCTAGAGTTTGGCTATTCTATTCATGGTTGGCTGTGAGATAGTGTATTCATAATCTGCTTGGTTGTCATGCGCATAATACTGTGATCATTCTTATTTCATCTCAGTTTGCAGCGTGCCCAAGCTTAGCGCCTGTGGGAACTGCGCCTCAGGTATGGGGTGTTGGGTCACATTCATACTTCTCAAGCGAATCCGTCGCACAACTGCGCGCCTGAGCGCGCTCCACTGCTCTTCATTAGACCGCGCCAACTGTCAATTCGATCGTTGCCAGCACACAATTCTTTCACCATTAGGTTGTACATCAACAAGCCGTGGAGTGCAAGTCGGCCAGAGTTTTTTAAGTACAAAATCGCGCGACTGATTCGCTAATGTCGCGAAGTATAAATGCAGCACGCTGCGGAGGCGCGCTGCGGAGACACGCTCAATAACCGGCAGTGAAATAGAGTAGTGTGCATTTTCCCTACTCTATTACCTTTGCTGCTGCGTCATGTTTCGAAATTCAAGTCAGATTTCTGTCGAAATTTTTCTCCCGAGTTACAACTTGCTGGAACTTTTCCCCAAATGTGACCTTGGCCTTTTGAATGTGAACCTCATACCTGGTTAGAGTTTGAACGCTCAACGTAGAGCTTGAA